AGCCCGATGCGGGACTCGATCCCGGGACTCCAGGATCATGACCTGAGCCGAAGGCAGTCGCTTAACCAACTGAGCCACCCAGGCGCCCCTGTATATCGACATTTAAAATTTAAAAAGATTAAAGGAAAGGTTGGAGTTGAAAAGTAATGTCAATAAAAAAATGCATAAGTTAAATATTTCATTGACAGAGTTTTCCTGTTACGAAGTCTCAGCATTTCTTTTATTTTTGGAAACATCTCATATTTCGAATTAAGTATATGCATCAGTGAACAAATTGGGAATTGAGTACAGAAATTAGAATCTGAGTCTGTGGGTAGCTCCATTTGTTTATAAATCCAAGGTGATGCTCCATAAGCAACTGCTTGTTGGTGCTTTGTTAAACATCTCTGAAATTTGGTAAATTGACAAGGAAGCAGAGAAACTTTAGTATTTGTAGTAAGCCATTCTAGAAATAGATTAGGAACCAAGAAAGGCTTTTCTCTTTGTTAACATTTTTCAAGCTTATTTCGCAAAAACAAACAAAAAAACTGTAAAACACTAGAGACCCCAGGATGTTGAGCTCATGAAATTGGATTAATACAAACCCATATGCTAGTATTAAGAAAGACTGCACAAAATGTGTCAAAGATGGATGACATCTATTAAAACGATGATGAGGTACAGTATGTAGAGCACTCTACATCCAGTGGTTTCTACACCTGGCTGCACCTGAGAATCGTCTTGGCAGCTTGATAGTCACCTGGAAAGTGCTACCTAGGGTGAGATGAAAGGGGAAGTGGTGGTGGCAGTTTGATTAAGGTCCCACCCTGTCTCATGGTGAGAACCTTTTTCCCTTTTAGCATCTGACACTTTTCATACTGGTATTGAGAGTTCTGGTATCATGAGCTGAGGCCTCACTGCCTTTCCTTGTGTTTATGACTAAGGGACTGTGTCACAGTAATAGAAACTATGTGTGACCAACCCTCCTTTTCATAAAGCACTTGTGCATTATTTTGCAGAAGACTGTCTCTGTCTTCTGAGGAAGTAAATAGAACTAGAGGTTTTACGGGTAACATGGGAAGCCAGGACACAAGCTCTGTTTTTTGACTCTGCATTTTTGCTTCTGTGTGTGATTCATTTTATGGCCATTCTGAGCAATTGTTGTGCTTCTAACTTTTGAAAATTAGTATAACTTGAGAAAATTTAGAAGAAACTGTTAGAGTTTCATTTGAAACTTTTTATTGGCCCTACATGAAGACAAAATGACTTTTTCTTTCTTTTTATTCTTTAATAATAAACATTTTAAGATACTAGGACGTTTATATAATATTACCAAAGGTAAGTTTTAAAGGACAGCTTTTTCCCTGGCAATTGGATTTGGTTATGCATGGAATGTCCTTTTAAATGTCCAATATCTTACTTTCTTGGTAAAGAAATTCATTTATTTTTAGAGCATATTTCTTCCAAATTCAGGTATTACTTGATTGGGCAAGACAGTCACTGATTGCGTTTTATAAGAAAAAACTTGACCTGAAGGAAGACATTGTTGAAAGGCTTTGGATCTATATAGATAACATTCTACACAGCAAAAAACTGCAGGATCTCCTCAAGAATGGAAAGACAATTAACCTTCAGATTTCCCTAGTCAAGGTAATTATCTGTTTTCCGTGTTGTCACATATATGTGACATGCATCTCTGTTGATTTCCTGTTAGTTATTGAAGATGCAGGAAGTATCAAGGTAGAGAAAGAGAAGGAAATAATACTAGAATTATAACGATGACCGATATTTATTGAATGCATATGGTATGCTCTATGCTGCATGAAACACTTTCTGTTTAATGTTCAAGGAAAGCTTAGAACTATTTCATAGAGTAGTTGTTGATTACCTTTTAATTGGAAAATGTCGCCAGCAATACTACTTTGTGTTCCCTGCCCCCCCATCCCCCCACTTTTCCATTGGCCTCAAGGAAGACCAAAGGCCAAAATTTGGATAGGAATTTCCTCAAAGTTTTTTGAGTCAAAGCAATTTTGAAGTCTCAGATTAGAATTAATGAACTTCATTGTCACAACTGAGTGTTTTGAAATACTGTGAGAATAGTTGGTGACAATAGAAAGCACTTAGTGTGTGCCAGGCACAAAGAGGTTCAGTAACTTGTTAAAAGTCACACAGCTCCTAGTGGCACATCTAAGCAATTCAGCTTAGATGCTAGAGATGGATGGACGGTAGCCTTGGGCTATGATCCTATGGTCCAAAATACATTTTTGTAGTCAATTACACTGTTTTTCTATTTAATTTCTTTTTTTTTTTATTTATTTGATAGAGACAGTGAGAGCAGGAACACAAGCAGGGGGAGTGGGAGAGGGAGAAGCAGGCTTCCTGCTGAGCAGGGAGCCTGACGCGGGGCTCGATCCCAGGACCCCGGGATCATGACCTGAGCCGAAGGCAGACGCCTAACGGCTGAGCCACCCAGGCACCCCCTGTTTTTCTATTTAAAAAGCCAAAGCTGAATTGCAGGTTTAGGATGTAAGCAAAAGTAATCTTTGGAGTTTAAGTCTTATAAAAACCCAGCTCTTTAAATAGGGACAACAGAATTAAAAAGGTACTGATCCCTTTTCTGAATTCATGTTGGTAGGAGTTGCATGAATAAAGGACTTAAAACAGGTACTCTGCCTTCTCTCAGTGCATTAAGCAAATGTCAAGTTCATTTAGATGTGATAATCTCATCTAAAGATAAGGGCAAAGAGTGAGTTCATTGATTCTCTTGTAGTTTTCTTATATATGTGTAGAGTCAGTAATGAGTTTTTTTCTTAATGTTCAGATCATAAATGAGAGAATAGCTGAATTCTCTCTTTCGGAATCCCAGAGAAGTGTGTGTGCTGTGCTGAGCTGCTGCCAGGGCATCCTCTCGACGCCTGCCCTTGCTGTCATCTACACGGCTAGGCAGGAGCTGATAGTGGCATTGCTGAGCCAGCTGTGCTGGTTGGCCTGTAGGCAGCCGGAAGGAGCCATGGTGGCCCAGTTATTCGAGGTCATTCACCTGGCACTTGGCCACTACCTCTCGATCCAGCAACAGCAAGTCAACCCAAGACGTGCCTTTGGGGAGGTGACTGGGCACTTGCTCCAGCCCTGCCTGGTCCTGAGGCACTTACTCTCGGGGGGCACGTGGGCACAGGCTGGGCAGGGTCAGCTGCGGCAGGTGCTGAGCCGGGATGTAAGGAGTCAGATTGAGGCCATGCTTCGAGGTGGAGCTTTTCAGCCCGAGTTACTCTCGTCCTACAAAGAGGAGCTCTTGGACCAGCATGAAGGGGACAAGAAGATAGGGGCCATGAAGAATCTTCTAGCTCCTATGGACACTGTGATTGCCAGGCTGGTAGATGCTGGCTACTGTGAACCGTCCCTTCATGCTGCTGTTGTAGCCAACTCAGTGGCCTTGCTGTATAAGCTCTTTTTAGAGTCTTACTTCAAGGAGGGGAACCAGCTTCTCTGCTTCCAGGTACTCCCCAGGCTGTTTGGCTGCTTGAGGATTTCGCACCTGCAGGAGGAGCAGCTAAAAGCTCTGGCCACATCAGATTGGACCACAGAACTCCTGGTTGTAGAACAGCTGCTCAACTCAGTGGCCAACAACAATATCTACAACATTGCTGCTGATAGGATCCGGCACGGAGAGGCTCAATTCCACTTTTACCGCCATTTGGCTGAGCTACTGATAAACCATTCACAAGCATCTGTGCCGGCCTGGTTCCGCTGCCTCAAGGCTTTGATGTCTCTGAATCATTTGATTTTGGAGCCAGACCTGGATGACCTGTTGGCCTCAGCTTGGATTGATGCAGAAGTGACAGACTTTCGAACCAAAAAAGCACAGGAGGCACTTCTTCACACTCTCTTCCAGACGTATGTCAAACTGCGACAAGTGCCGCGGTTGTTTGCGGAGATTCTGGGGGTGATCTGTCGTCCAGCTGCTGAGGTGCTGAGGCAGCCTGTGCTGACCTCGGGCCCCTCCAGGGTGCTTAGTGAGTGCCTCCTGGAGTTGCCTCCGAGTCAGATCTTGGACACATGGTCACTTGTGTTGGAGAAGTTCCAGTCTTTGGTCTTACCTTATTTGAGGGGTGATGCTGACATGGCCTTGAAGTCACTGTCCCTGAGCTCACTGCTGCACTGCATCATGTTCAATATGAGGAGCCTGGACAGCAGCACCCCTCTGCCTGTCATCAGACGAATGCAGTGCACGATGGAGAGGATGCTCCGAGAGCTTGTGAGGCCCCTGTTGGACCTTCTCCTGGACCCCCAGGGCCCAGAGCTTGAGCTCTGGCTACAGAAGATCAGTGACTCTGCACTCTTGCTCTCTTACACTTGGGCCCAGGTTGACGCCATGCTCAGTATAAACTGTAGCCAGTATCACTCTGTGTCTGGGGCTCTTACAGATGTTGCTCTAGAGATCTCAAACCTCCCCTTGTTGCTCCCAGATGTTGAAACATGCCATTGGAAGAAGATAGAAAAGTTTACAGCTCAGTTTGACTCTCTTGGCAGGTATTGTTTGGAACAGCTCTACCTGCAGAAAATGAAAAGGACTTTAATGCAAACTAGTTTCCAGTCTGAAGAAGCCCTCTGCAGTTTGAGGTGTGATGCTGCCTACATTCTTGGTTCTGGCAGAGAAAGCTTGAATCGAGGGACAGCAGCTTCCTGGGATGGCCAGGCTGGGACAGTGAGTGCACTCACATACCCTGTAGCTCACTGGCACTTGATTGTGTCGAATCTCACAATTTTGATATCCTATCTTTGTCCAGATGATGTGAGATCGCTGGCCAGTGTGCTGCTAAGAACTTTACCAGTGAGCAAAGCCCAGGAAGGCTCAGCAGATGAAGAGCCAAGCATCACACTTGAGAAAATATCCAGCGCTGTCCTTCATAGCCCTCTCTTTCCAGAAATGCAGTCCCTTCATTCTGCTTTCTTAATATGCCTAACTGAAGGATGTACTAGCATCCTGTGTTCTGGGGTCCAGAGTGACCCGAGTCTTCTCAGTCAACAACTGCCCTGGCTTTTTGAAAAGGACCACATGGTGGTGGCTTTTTGGGAAAACAGATTTGCAAAAGTCGGACCTGAAAGTGTAGAACCAAAAGGAGAAATTGCCCAAAACTTACTGTCCTTGGTCAAGAGTGACTTCCCCATTCAGCTGGAGGGAGAACAATTAGAGAGCATCTTGGGACTTTTGGAAGTTATTTCTACTTTGCAACTGGACAGCCTCTTGACTCCCTATCATGTGCATTATTTTTTTCTATTATTGTCCGTGGCCATCACCAAGCTGGGGAGCTCTTGCTCCTCCTCAGTGACCCTCAAGTTTTTGATGACTTGCTACCGGCTTCTTGGTTACCTGCAGAGAGGCAGAAGTGCTCGCTCAGTGCTCAAGATTATGTATGTTAGTGATATTTTTGAGATTATGTTGACCTCGTTGTTCAAAGCCAGTAGTAGATTTCCTGTTAATATGGATGACCCCTCTTGGTTGGAATTCCTCCAAGTGATAGGGGCATTCTTAGAACAACTAATGCAGATGCTTATCCAGATGAAGCTCAGCCTGGTGCTCAATTTCAGGAAAATCACTGGATTCCTCCACAAACTGTACACTGAAGCAACTACAGGCACACAGATGGAAAATCAGAATCCCTGGGGCCGGCAGCTCCTTCTGGTGTCTTTAACCAAGTTGTGCCAAGTCCTGGGGCCTTTTGTCAGAGAGCGGAAGCAGCAACATGAGGCCCCAGAAGCGCTGTCCGAACTGCTGCAGAAGGCCATTCTGCACACGGGAGCGGTGCTGCAGCTCTGCTGGGTACAGGGGGCACAGGGCCAGCGCCTTCCCTCCGTCTTCATCGCGTCGGTCAGCACGCTCTTGGAGGCGGATGTGGACCAGCACTCCAGGCACAGGACAGAGATTTCCCGGATGACAGACAGGATGCCATTGTCCCATACCGCCTTCTACCAGAACGTTTACTCTCAACTACTGTCAGAGTTGCCGGCTCTTGCAGGAGACAGTCAGTGTTTCCAGGCGGCCATGCGGTTTTTAACTCTGTTCTTTTTGGCCCCAGAACTACATCCCAAGAAGGATTCTGTTTTTACCTCCATGTTTCATTCTGTGAGAAAAGTTCTTGCAGGTAAGGTATTTTATCTTGAGCTAATTCTGTGCTATACAGCTTTTGGTAAAAGCAAGTAAGCCACTGGCAAGGTGAGTGCCCCCCCATCCCCCACACCCTTTTGGAACAGGTGTTCATTTCAGAAGGTACAGGCCAGTGAACCAGGAGGAAATCCCCCACCATCCACTCCCAGGAACTCATTTCTAGTATCTGCATTCTCTGCACGGATAAGCAAGCAGTGACCCTCACAGTTCTGCTTTGTACACAAATAGTAACCTTCTAGGTATATTGTTTGGCACTTTAGTTTTTCATTTATTTTGGAGATTGTTCTAGGTTATAGTTTTGAAATCTATTACTTTTATCTTTTTTAGCCTTTATCTGTCCTGGCCCTGGATGGGCAACATGTATAATTTCATCCTTCTTAGTAGGCTCTTTTGTATCTGATTTTCAGTGCCATCTTCAGTGACTTAAGAAAGATCTAAAACTTGTCAACTTAAAAAATGCAACTGACTTAATTTATAGGGAACGTCATAAAATTCCTTGAGGGCCAGACTCCCACTCCTGGTCTCAGTGTGGTGCCTGGCCATCACTGGGGTGTGGGTGCTAATAAGGCAGAAGCTTAGCTGTCATCTTGGTCTTTTAGTTTGATGTCATTCTTCTGGGCCAGCCAATCAGGACTGCAAACCTAGCCCACGTCTTTGTGCAGAAGCGTTCAATATCTGCTATTCCCTAGCTCAAAGGCCAATGGGCCAGATTTGTCTCTGTTTCAAGATAGCACTGTTTCAAGTTGGTGAGGTTTGTTTTCTTTTTGTTTTGCTTGTTCCTGAGGGGTTGGGCTTAGGACAGTCCTTAGAGGTGAGACTGGGGAGTCCCTAGCTCTCAGAACGAATGCCGATTAATGTTTCTCAGTGGAGAAGCTGTGACAGGCCGGGAGGAGCCACAGATGGGGCTGCAGGCGTGCTCAGATACAAGAGCGTAAAATAGGGCCTTGTAGGAAGCAAAGCTGCCCGGGCCAGCGCCAGAACTGAAGTGTTGAGGCCAGAATAACACTGCTGTTGTTTCCCTTTCAATAGCCTTTCTATCCCCGCCTTGATTGTGGATTGACTGAAAAGGCTTTCGTGTCACATGTTCTGTCTTATTATGTCAGCGACTCTTTTAGGGAATGGTGTTCACCTTAGTGGAGGCTAGAATTTAGTCTTTTATTAACACTAGTTACAGTGTCCTAAATGAGTCATCTAAGAAATGGCAGCTGGTGGTCTGAAGCTCTGACCTCTGTTCCCCTTTGTTAAACAGATCCTTCTTTTCCTTCCAATCCTCTTGACTTGAGGTGGCCTCTAAGTCCTAACTATATGTCCGTGGACTTGGGGCACCTCTGGCTCCAGGGACAGAGCCTCAGTTGTGGCAGTCAGGGGGCCGAGGCCATCTGCCCCGCTGGCCCTCAGACCACGGGCTCAGGTGTTGCTCTTGGGTCCAGGCGTCATAGCCTTGAGCTGCTAGACTTTGTCTAGAAAAGGGACTGAAGTGAGAGGTCTGGAAGAAATGCCTATTGAGGAGGGCCCAAAGCTTTGAGTGGGGAGAGGGAGAGTTAAGGTGGCTATGGATAACCAGAGTGTGGCCCTCTGTGTCCTCAGGGGTGTTTCAGGTAGGTTTCCCCTCGTAAAAGTGAGCATTTGTTAGGAATGCTTTCCGAGAGTAGAATAGACTACTTCAGTTCAATCACAAAAAAACAATTACTTTTACAAATGTTTCATATATATGTGGAGCCATGTTCTACTCTGGACATGAATGCAGTGTTGATTTTGACCTATCTAATCAAGTAAACAGACATTCACACAAATCACACAAATTGCAGAACAGTGAAATGCTGTCAAGTACACCAGAACTAGGGGACTGTGGGTTGAGAGTGTGTATAGGCAAAGCAGTAGTTGGCAGTGGCCTTTGAGGGATAGGCAGGGTGGGTGGAGACAGTGGGGAGTGCTGATGTTGAGCCTTCCATGTGGCAGACACTGCAGTGCTCCTTCTTTTATTTGCCAACCACGGGAGTTAGTGCTGTTATGCCCATTTCACTGATGAGGGAATGGAGGCTCAGAGAGCTCATGAGTCCAGGATCTTACAGCTTGTAGGACACTTTTGGGCCGAGGTCTTTAACTCTCAAAGCCTGTTGTCCCCTCCACCCTCAGTACTTACGAAGTGAGCGAAGACTGAGACATGGGAAGGTATTCTGGCAATGTGGAACAGTCTGGGCTGAAATATGGCTGGGAAGGTAAGCTGGCATCAGATAATAAAAGGCCTTAAATGCCCTGACTTCGGGCTCTAGTATGAAACCCTGGGGCCATTAGAAGGCTTTCCCGCATCAAGGGGTGCCTGGGTGGCTCAGTCAGTTAAGGGTTTGCCTTCTGCTCAGGTCATGATCTCGGGGTCCTGGGCTCAAGCCCCACATCGGGCTCCTGGCTCAGCGGCAAATCTGCTTTTCCTTCTCCTTCTGATCTCTCTTGCTCTCTCTCACTCTCAAATAAATAAGTAAAATTCTTAAAGAAAAAAAAGAAGAAGGCTTTCCCGCATCAAGTGGGAAACACCTGGATGACTGAGGCAGATAGGCCCTGAAAGTTTGGAGCTCTTTTAATGTCTTCAACATTCTCATCTCTCTCAACGTACCATGCCACGCCTGTGTCCCTACTGATTTTACAAAAGAATACGGGCATGCCTAATTTTACTGTGCTCTTCTTTATTGAGCTTCACAGATACTCCGTTTTTTACAGTTTGCAGGCTTGGGGCAGCCTTGCTCAGGCAGGTCTGTTGGCACCATTTTTCCAGCAGCATTTGCTTCTTTGTATCTCTGTCACATTTTGGTAAATCTTGCGATATCTCAAACTTCTTCGTTATTATATTTGTTAAGATGATCTGTGATCAGTGACTAAGACTCAGAAAGCTAGATGGCGGTTAGCATTTTTCAGCAAGAAAGTATTTTTAAATTAAGGTACGTGCATTGTATTTTTTTTTTTTAAAGATTTTATTTATTTATTTGCGAGAGAGAATGAGAGACAGAGAGCACGAGAGGGGGGAGGGTCAGAGGGAGAAGCAGACTCCCTGCTGAGCAG